AACTCAGGAAAGGTTGAAAGCTTAGAGGTCCCTAATCAACTTTTCTGAGGAAAGCTAGTTAAATAGAGCTTAAGCCATTAGTATATATATATATATATATATATATATATATATTAATTAATTATATACAGCAAATTTGGCAGATAAAAATTGTTTTTTTGAATTTCATCGATAGATAAACAATCAGTATAATTAACCAATATATTGGAAATAATTGTTAAATGGACTAGAACCAGAATGTGTCAGATATTTATATGAAAAATACCTTTACTCGCAAAGGCTGTTACTATTTATTGCTTCACAAGACGTGATCTAAAAATCCGAATAATAAAAATAATAAATGTTTCTTCTTAAACATAAAACAAGAAGTAGTCCAGCCATTAACTAACCTAGGAATTTGAGATACCCAGCGAACACCCTACCATATGTAGGTTTTGAGATAACTTTTAGGTGCCAATATATAAGTATTTACAGACTTGGATATCTCGAATTCCGAGATTCTTACCTAATTTAAGCTTAAATGACTGGACTAAGGTTATAACTGCGCAACATGGCATTTTAATTTTTGGAAACTTAATATTATTTGCTTCACAAATAATATAGTATGGCATAGTTATAGGAGTAAATTCTTAATTATAATTTGCATAAAAAACAAAGCTATGCTAATTCTCTTACAATACATTAATATTTTACATGGTTGTGAATATTTGATTTTAGTTACGAATCATGCAATTGAGTCTTGGAATTTTAATTGTATTTTAAGAAGATGTTTGGAAAACTGAGCAGAAGAAGCTCAGAAGAAGAGCTGTATTTTAATTTTTGAAATTTTATGTTATGCTTACTAAAATTTATATTAAACTGAAAAAATATGTACCTATATGTAATATAACAAATATTTCATTCCATTCGATTCATCGTTCAATTTTGTCTACATAAATACCTCATTATTATTTGGATTTTGATATATGTACATACATGTGTGTGTGGAATAATATATATATATATATATATAATATATATATATATATATATATATAATATATATATATATATATATATTTAGCTACCGAAACTCTTTAAGATACCATTAAAACTTTTGATTGAAAAATATGTGTAATTATATACACATATATATGCATGTATATGTATATATATACGTATATATATATATGTATATATATATATATGTATATATATATGTATATATATATATATATGCGTACATAGAGGTAACTATATATATATATATATATATATATATATATTTAGCTACCTATATATATATATATATATATATATATATATTATATATATATATATATATATATATATATATATATATATATATATTTAGCTACCGAAACTCTTTAAGATACCATTAAAACTTTTGATTGAAAAATATGTGTAATTATATACACATATATATGCATGTATATGTATATATATACGTATATATATATATATATGTATATATATATGTATATATATATGTATATATATATATATATATATATATATATGCGTACATAGAGGTAACTTTGTAGACGAATGTACAATTTGATCAATATCTCTTGCGCCGCCGCCATAGATTCATTTGAAATACTGAGCTATATATACACAAATTATATATATATATATATATATATATATATATATATACACAAAACGTAACATACAAACTATATGCATGCATTAATATGCATAAATCATACCGTGGTCCATATGGAGATAAAATTTAATCCAAATTTAAAATCTAAAGTGGACCTATCTAAAGGGTCGTTAATTCATTACAAATGTAATGATATCTGTATCACTTACTTGGTTATGGAGATCTTGGATGATGATATATATATATAATATATATATATATATATATATATATATATATATATATATCGGTCTACTTCAAATATTTTATTGTATTATTAGATACTATTAGTATGCTAGAGTTCATAAATATTCTATCAGTATTACATTTTTTCCTAATGCAATTAATGGACATATACCAAATAGAAGCCATTAAAAAATTGCCAAAGGCCTTGTTATTTGTATTAATATCTTGAGTTATTTTTTTTGTTTTACTAACACAGATTATAAATTGCCAATTGCATCTTCTCATTGAAGTGGACCTCTAACATGCAATAACATACAAGGGTGTCACATAGACTCATAAAAATTATTATAAATTTGACTTAATAAGTATTTAAAAAATTTAGAAACTTTTGTGATAAACGAGTATATATCTTATATCAAATAGATTGTGAATAATATTAACAATTTCAATATATGCAAGTATAGTATTTTTACAAAGAAAATTGGGTTAAGTACAAGTAATATAACTATAAAATTGGGTTAAATACAATTAATATAATAAATTAAATAATTAATTAACTTTGTTAAATAAAGTAGATATTGATTGAGGCTATTTCAATATAAGTTCAAATCTTATAAGGCTTATAGTTCAAATGTTTTATACATTACATACATAAATCTTATTAGACTTATATCAAATAAAAAAAAAATGTTTTCAAATAATAAATATAAATATGAATATGAAATATAAATATAAATATGAATATGAATATGAATATGAATATGAATAAAAATATGAATATAAATATATGTGTCTTCATCAGTGAATATAAACAATTTGGTGAATATAAACATTTTAAAAACAATAATAATAAATATAATGTACATTATTGAAAGTAGCACGTAACTCCAGTCAGTAATTTTGAATTAATAAATTAATTAAATTGGAATTGTAATAAATTTTAAGCATTTTTGGGAAGACAAACGTATAAATGTATTTGCTTACCTGAATATACTCAAAAATACATTTGCGTACTATACATATATAAGTAAACTCAAATTCATCGACTTCACGTTTTTTGCATAGCAAAATATAACGCCTACTCTTGATTGCATATTTCATACTCTACATTTATAATATATATGTATATATATATATATATATATATATATATATATATATATTCAAGACCCTTTGTATAACCTAAGCCACAATTAGCACAATAAAAGTTCCTATTGTACTCCAACAAACCATTGTGAACATTGACAAAATATTTTGACACTGTAAATAACTACCTACGAACGAAGAGGAATATGAACTTATATTGTGTAAGCCATATAATTATAAACAATAACATATTTTTTATTAACTCCCACTGAAAATGTTTCTATTGTGCGACAATTGGTCTCCATATTAGGGTTATATTGGAACTTTATTAGATTAAGAGCAAAAAGTTTACAATTACTGAGAGTATTTTTATTCGCACGGTAAAGGACAAAAATTAATTGATACATCTCTGAAAAACGTATGAATAATAGAAATATTAACAATTTTATTTAATTAAACGTAGCATTGATAAACAATTACTTTTTTGATAAATCGTAATATTTATTTTTATCAAATATCTAAATATCATTTTTTTTGTTATTTATTTATTTGGCCTTATAAACTAGTACGTTAACCTACAATCCAGTATTTTGATTTATATTTATTGAAACTGTTTTATGCTTTAGAATTTTACTTATATATTTGAAGAGAATAAATGTAGTATTTTAGTTAGAAAAATGCAGACCAATGTTAAATTGCAAACTTTAGAAATATTTTTCAGTTTATGAGAAATATGTTGATTCAAGTTGGTTTATGCATATCGAGTCTAGATTTTAAATATTAGATCAAATTATTTTGATACTGAAATTGTGACATGAAAAATATGCAATTTTTGAATGTTCAGTAGACATTTCTGATATAATTTTTAAAACGAAGACTTATTTTTAAATTGCAATATACAAAACTTGCTATCCCTTATCATTAGAAGGGATATAATTAATGATTTTAATATAAATACATGAGACAACTATTGTCTTTTAAAAGAACAAATAATTTGGAAAAAGTATCATCACAACCGATTATAGGACTCTGATTGCTGTTTATGAAAACAACCAAAATATGGTTTTTAATATACCTACTCATACTCGTTTATTCAACTACTATTATTTTTAATTTTAACTCTGGCATTAGTACATAAAATAAATTCAGGATTTCATATTTCAATTATAACAATTGAATACTTTATATTCAATGACTTTGGCCATTATTTTCTATAATAATTATAATTTTAGGAACACAAACTTGAAGATACAAAACTTGCTCTTGAGCAGTTCTTTAAAAAAACAGTCATTTTATACGATTAAAAATAAATACAAACAAATAGTCAAAAATATAAAATTTATTCAAAATGAAATGATTATTTATGAGGCATAATCAAACCAATCCTTATCTATGAAACCAATATTATTATTAATCAAATCTGAAGAAAAATATAAATCAATAATATGTTTAAAAATTGGTACATAATTATTATAAATAAACTTACACTTTTTGAAATGAAAGGATAGATTTCTATATTGGTCCATAAAATAAAGATCTATTGAAATTAGAAAATTAAAATTATAATTCTTTAGAGTTCACACCCAAAGCTTACTGTTACTCATAAGCTTATTATTGATTTCATATACACTAGTTGAGATTTTTGGGTCATAATAATTTTGGCAAGGTTTTTACAGCATTTATACACACAAATATCTATTCATATATGTGGTTTTGGAGCGCCAAATTTGTTATCAGAAAGCATTTGATTGTTTGATCACTATAATCATTTCAAATTTACAGTTGAAAAACCCTGGACAAAAACTAGGACCGAAAAGAACTTTACTGATGGATAAAGAAAATGAAAGAAGATGGACCTGGCTTGGACCCAAATTGAGAAAAGGGTACTTCTATATGAAGTTATTGAAGGAAAAATAGAGGTATGATGAAGAAGAATGCAGATGACGTAGGACTTACGCCAAAAAAACATATATATATATATATATATATATATATATGAATATAAATATATATACATATATGATTCTGGATCGCCAAGTTTGCTATCTGAAAGCATTTGAATGTTTGATTAAATTATTTCAAATTACAGTTTACTTTATGGACAAAAACTAGGAGAGAAAAGAACTCTACTGATGATACTCTACGAAAGTCTTCTGTATGAAGTCATTGAAGGTAAGATAAAGGTCTATGATGGAGAAGATTGCAGATGACGTAGGACTTACGCCAAAAAACATATAAATATGAATATAAATATATATATACATATATGATTCTGGATCGCCAAGTTTGCTATCAGAAAACATTTGATTGTTTGAATATTATAATCATTTCAAATTTACAGTTGAAGAACCCTACACAAAAACTAGGACAAAAAACAACTCTACTAATGATTGTGAAAAGAAGATGGACCTGGTTTGGACCCAAATTGAGAAAAGAGTACCTTTACATGAAGTCATTGAAGGAAAAATAGAGGTATGATGAAGAAGATTGCAGATGACGAAGGACTTACGCCAAAAAAAGGAAGAGAATTGAAAGCAGAAGCACTGAAGAAGAAGTTTAAGAATTAAAAGGTGAGTTGTAAATCTTGAGAAATAATGTGTATTTGTTCAGATCAGATATATCTATATACGTTTGTGTGTATGTTGATATCTACTTTAACGGACAAAGAAAGTTTTGATATAACGAGGAACCAAAAAAATCAAAAAAATTATAACATGTTTCTAAGTTGAAAACCCATCAAAACACCCTCTCTATCATGTCTTCTAACACAAAAGCATATTTCCTGCACGTATACGTTTATTTTTATGTATGTTCAGTAATTCCTGATTGGTTAGTTTGTACATAATCTGGCATGCGATTGGTCTAAATCCTATAGACAAAGAGAAACGTATGATATATTACTTTCAAACACACGAAGGGCTACCGATATATATGCATATATATATATATATATATATATATATATATATAATATTAATGTATATTTGTAGCCTAAAGACATACTTTGTATTTGGCATATTCCAAATGAATGGGCAGATTACTAACTTTACATGTATAGATAAACACACCATATATAAATACATATCTATACATATACTCCTACGAATACATTTATAAACCCCTAAATCAATATATTGCTCCATCTCTTTCTGTCAGATGTGAATTTTCCATCCTCTGACTTTGTCGCACTTTGAGGGTGGAACTGTACCGAAGCTCGCGTGTGTTGCGCATCTAACGAGCTTTTCGCTAAGCCACACCCACTCGGAGAGCTTACACATGAAAAAGCTCATACATAGAAACAATGGTACGTGCTATAGATTTGCATTTATATATATATATATATATATATATATATATATATAATACATAGGCCTGTATAAATTTACATATTTCCAAAAATATAGGGCTTTTGCTGGTGTAATGCCTAAAATATAAAGTTATTGCTAAACCATACTATTTAGTGCTTTAACCATAATATGAATTCATTATATTCATCAGGGGTTTACCAACTAAAACAGTCTCTTCTCTCTTTACATAATTTACCAAATAGTAATATAGTATATATCAATATCGTTCTGAAAGTCTAATTTTGTTAAATTATGAATTTTATTGAATAATTTGATAGTAGAAAGATAGATAGATTGTTTTTTTTACTGAATAGAGTTTCTAATCCCAAACTTCTCATCTGAAACGATAGGTTAATAGATATCAATATAAATTATTTCCAATTTTTTTGCTGTAAATATATTCATTCATTGAAAGTATACAAGGTAGTCAAGAGTGTATTTATTGTTTTGCACTGTTTATTCATTTTTTATTCATTCTTACATAATTTATTGTTCTAATTTAATATAATTGATGAAATTCTATGAAATATACAAATCTTGCTGATATTTTTCATCGGGGCAATTATTATGTTTACAATTTTTTTAACGTTTTTTTAACAATGGAGATATTTATAGCTCAAAGATTATACATCTTAGACTATTCATGCCTATTAAACTTAAAATAATTATTAATATCTATATTTGTTTATTTGTTGCTATAAAATGTTTCAACTGTGGTTAAACTAAAGAATTTTGAATATATTCATAAAAATCATATAGTGATAAAAACTTAAAGCTTAAATCTTAAAATCTTAAAATCTAAAACTTATTATAACAAAATTGAATTGCTATAGAGTCTAGTTTTGGTTTAACAAAATTATTTCAAAGTTTATGAATATAATTGTTTTATTAAACAAAATATGAAGCAAAAAAATAACAATAATATAATGTAAGACTCTTATAAATTGTTAAACTAAATTGTCATATCATAAAATAACCTAAAATTTGTTAAACAAAATAATTATATTGTAAAAGTATTGTAGAGTTTATTAAAATACTTATTATTAAATTTATTAATTTTTTAAATTATTAAATTATTCAAAAAATATTTGCAATATATAAATAATAAATAATTAAAATTAACTAAATATAAATAAGTTTATAGTAAATAAATTAAATAATAAATGAATAAATAATAAAATAGTTAATTAAATTACATTATATAAATGTGTAAAACATTGAAATGAGCCTTATTATATCATTATGCTGACGGTTTGTAAAATAAATAAATAAATAAATGAATAATTAAATGAATGAATAATTAAATAAATGAATAATTAAATAAATGAATAATTAAATAAATAAATAAATAAATAAATAAATAAATAAATGAATGAATAAATAAATAAATGAATGAATAAAAAAATAAATAAATGAATAAATAAATAAATGAATACATAAATAAATAAAAATATTATAAAATAATTATTGACCCTTTATTTATAAAATTTCATTTATGAAACAATTTTATGCAAATAATAAATGCAATATATTTATTTTAAATCTTTTATATTTTTTATTCATTATTCTCTATTACTAATTATGTCTATTATTTATATATTTTTTGTTTAATTCATTAGGTATTTTGTGTATCGATAGAAGTAATGGTCTACTTTAGTATACTTTAGTTTTTTTTTAATAAAATTCAATATACAAAATTGGCAAAAATTTTGTTGAACTCTCATTCCAAGGCAATGTAAAGTATTGTATAATTAAATATTTTAGTTACAGGTGTAATTATTTTAAGTAGGTACTTGTCTGTGTTTACAACTCATTATTGATAAATAATTAAAACTTAAAAAATCTTCCAAATTGCTAATTTTAAAACTTGACTAGTTTAGCATATGAAAATGACAAGTTGACTTGAGAAGATGAATTAAAAGAAAGTTTTTGTTTATCATAAAATGGTTTTGCGAATATCTAAGTATTAAATTCATATTTGTATATATATATATATATATATATATATATATATTGCATTTTTCACTTATATACAGCCTTGTTCATCCACGCACACAATGCAAAGCTGTTATGGGCGTGGTATGTATTTCATCCCCCTAAAGATTCGCATCCCTATGCACACGGACACATACATACATGGCACGTGGATATATATATATATATATATATATATATACTAGTATATAAATGTATATATACATATATACAAGTATACGTTGACTGAATTCTATGCGGTTTAATAGAGTTAGACATTTAGTCATATCTAGTCAACGATATAACACACATATACACACAAAATAATATTATGTATAATATTGTACAAAAAATAAATTTAATTTACATTTATTTAAACAAACTCTAAGTGGATCTTATTAATATTTAACAATAAAACAATTTTGACCCCCAAAAATAACCCTGGATTGTAAAAGATTGTTCTTGGTGGCAGCAGTAACATTCAAAAATAAAACTTTAGTGCTATTTGTGTAGTGTAAATATAATTATTAAATGTGTATTGATGAACTGTGCAGTTTTTTAGGTTGTGCAAGGATAAGTTACATAAAACAAAAGTGATTTGACGATTAATAAAATAAATACTTATTAAATTAATTAGGCGAAAAACGAGTCAACTTCAACTTGCAAAAACCTTATAGAAAGGAATTTTGTGGCGCTATATTTAGCAGTTCGGTGTGAAATTTCAAACAGATTAGTAAAGATTAAATCCCATCTAAAATTTAATTAACGGTGATAAGTTTATAATATACCAACAAAAAACACATACATCATTGTGCTAAAATGCTAAATGCTAATGCTAAAATGTGATTGTTATAGTTATCCAAGTCTTTTCAATTTTCTTTGTATAGGATATTCATATATTTTCTATTCTTTATTTTCATACAAAATTTGAAACTGTTAATTTTATAAGAAATATTCCTTAATTATCCATAACCTATTTTACAGAGCATTAGAAAAGCCTAAATCAAATATTTAATTATGTGCTCAAGGACAAGACATAAATTCCGTTCATAAAAATCTAATATCTGCTCACGATCCTTTACAAAATATATTACACAAAACAATTTCCCTAATTTGTGTAATAAATATTTTTATTCGCATTGGATTTAAGATCTTCAGAAAACTCGGTCGACTCGCGACGGGTCGACCAATTGGTTCCTTTCGAAAATTTATTAAGAAATCCAAGTTTAAATTTTATGACAAACATCGAAGCCCCTGATAAACAATGCACAAATCCTTCCACAAATGATTATGGATATGAAAATAATTACAAAAGTGAACAGTTTAGTCCCAACGACATCAACAAAAACCCAGAAAATTTGTCTATGAGCAATCATGTTAGGAATAAGTCTGATAAAAAATTAGAAGTTTGTAACAAAAGTGACAGTTTCATGTTTGAAAATTATTCTTGTTCGCAAAAAGACTCGGTGGCTAAGTTTTTAGAATTGAAACCAAATTTGGAAGAACCGTATTGTGGTTTTGGTGACATTCGAAAAGTTGTGGAAGGAGAATCGACTTGTGAGTTGGAAAATCGTAAAACAGTTCAGAATAATGAAGTGTTATTCGGTTTGAACCTCAAAAATAACCTTCATAAACCTTATACTAGCTACATTGACCAATCCAAAACGAATGATGTAATTTTTGATAACATAAAACTATTACAAAATACCAAAAATTCGTATGGACTTAATTTGAATTTGAAATCTGATACAATCAACGAACCAATATTCGATGCTGATGACAGAAATTTGCAACAAACTTTAAATCCAAACCGGTCTACCAATTTATCAGAATCCGATCTTCCAAGACCGAATTCGGTTCTACAAGAACCGAGTTACGACTTCAACCTGAACCGAAAATCGTCGTCGGTTCTAACCGAACCGAAAACCGATATAAACATTTGTGATCAATTAAATTTAACTATAGAACAACAACAAGAATTGACGTCCATCAAGCTGCAGAACATAGATTCTCAACAACAATCAGAGGAAGAAGACGAGGAGAATAATTTAAAGGAACAAGACGGAAATTTTGCAAAACAATTCAATATTTTTCCCGCAATATTTTCTAGACAACTAAATTTCTCTCAGCAGCAAAACAATTACAACTTAAACACGTCGGCTGCGGGGATTCCAACGCCTCCTCAAAGCCAACATAACTTAAACTTCAACTTGAACCAGTATTCCACAAATTTTAATTATCACAACATGAATAACTACTATCAGGAGAAAATGGATGAGCTGAACACGACGAGGAATCTCAGTTTATTAGGATCAATGTCAGGTTTATTGGACGAGCACCTGCACACGAATTTTCATGGAAATTTGCAAAATTTGCACACGAATTTTCATGGAAACTTACAAAACTTACACTCGAATTTACACCATCATCACCACCACCATCATCAGACGGAAATGAAGTTCATGCCAGTATTGCAGGACACGAGGTAAGGAAATTGGAGTTATATCCAGTGAAATGAAATTACTTGAAACTGTAAATTTTTTTTTTCAATCATTGATATCTGTAACCAATAGATAAAAATAACTTAAGATATTATATATATGTATATATTATATATATACATATATATGTATATATATATATATATATATATTATTAAAACTTTATATATTACTACTCACTGACAAAAACACTCAAATTTGTTTACTACATCTACATATAAAAGTAATCTTCATATACCTTATTTTTAGTCTCAAATTGGGACATTATGGGTTTATTTAATTTTTTGGAAAATGAAAGGCAGGTTTAGCAGTTTCGAAGATCAAGTAAAAAAAGTAAAAAGAAATACTATTTTGGGGTAAAAAATGATCATTAGACATATGCGCATCTGATTATCAGATATTTCTATAGAGATTTTAATAATAAGTTTTTTTTATTAATTATTATTTATTAGTTATGATGTTCTTTCGTACAATTTTAGTGTTTCTAATAAATTTTTAGTTTTTGTGATTTTCTGGTTTGATTGCTGAATGATGACACACATTCAGTGTTGAAACGTTTAATATAGTAAAGATTTTTTTATATTAACCTTTCAATTCGACGATTTTGCTGCAAAATACTTCAAATTATATAAACGTCGGCAAAATTATCAACATACATTTATTTATATAAAAATTGTACTTATTATTTTTTTTAAATATTTTCCTTCTATCAAAATTTATGTTACTTGTATTGTTAATTTTTAAATATCAAATTTGTAGTATATATAGTAAGTTATATTTATTTGTTGAAGTCAGTTTTACTATTTTATATTTAGCAAGTTGCAAGTTCATATCTTTACAATTTAATTTCTGATAGACACAATTAAAATTCGCAAATTCTTCAATTTTTGTTTTGAAAATATTGGAAAATTATTTTTTTTATTTATTTTTTACAAGCAGATCATAGCCACTTATATCAAATATTGTTTCAAGCTTCTACCATGTCGATTGTACTAATTTTGAATCCTGAGTTGTTGGATGTTTTAAATAAAATATTCTATATGTATATAATTTTTATTTGTTAAGACAAGTAATAAATAATTTATACTTTAATAAATTTAAATTTTTGTATACATTAATTCATAAATTCAGTCAATCAAATACTTAAAATATGTTGTCAAAACTATATTTAAAATCTAATATAGTAAAATGATCAATATCATTTTTAACATTTGTTAATTTTGGAATTAGTTTGTTAATGTTACACATTAGTTCGGTTTAAAAATTTATAAAATAAACAAATATTTAAATATTTTCAAGCTTTTTATACAATTCCTGAAAATTGTACAATTAAAAAACACAATCAAACATCTTAAATAAAAGCAATGACTCTCATAGCTATGAAAATTTTGAAATATACAAATCATGATTTGATTCTATACACCAATTAATATTGAATTAATGCGAGAAATTCATAATATATCATATATAAGTATTTATCATATAAAATGAATCAATCAGTTATAACCTGCCAATGTTTTTACAGTACTCGTGTAGATTTATTAATATTATTTTATTTATTTTATGTATTCTTTTATTATCTTTATAAATTAGTAGTTTTTATAAATAAACATCAGATTATTTGACCTAATCTTTTATTAGATTTAAATATTATATGAATTTACAAATATGAAGGATTTGTTAGTGGTAAGATATCCTTTTTAATTGATCAATTAATATTCAAAAAACAATCAATTAATACTAAATGATTTGTTAGACATCCTTTTTGATGAATCAACTAATCTTAAAAAAAACTTACTTCAAATTACAAAAAATACATTTTTCATTTCAACCAATAAATATTTATAACACCGCATATATAAGTAATAAAATATTAAATATCAAGTTCGATAATCATATCAGTTAGTTTCTTTATTAATAAAATTACATGCATTATTATTTATAAAAATATATCTAGACTACTAGCATACTGTGGAAAACTATGATTTTCATTTCTATCTTTCTTTGATTTCTCTCTAGATAATATAATTATATTCATGTACTTGGCATTCTAATGTACAAAAAAGCAAAAAAGAACTACAAAATCTTCAATTAATTATTAATTTTTCAGGCAAGAATCAAGTGCAACCACACCCCTGTCCAATAAATCATCACCTGTAAACCATTCGACAACACCAAACATAAATGCAACAAATTCGACCAACGCCACAAGTTCCAGCAACAATTCATCTACTGCCGGAGGCACCAACAACAACAACTCAACGTCAGCCTCGAACACGAACAACAGTTCCTCGGTGCAGGTCCAGGACGGAGGCGATAACCAGACGAGTAGTACTACAAATAATGGAGACACCAAGGCGTCCAGCCAAGATTTTGGAGTTGGTGGGATGTATGGACAACACAGTGATGGTAAGTGATAGTTTAATAAGTTTCAAAAAATCAAGACTGACTTCAGTCTTAATTAAAATACAATGTCTGTATTATATCAACATAAACGTAGGCTTCAACATTAACTAGATTATAGTAAGAAATAATCGATCGTTGTCATTCAAGAATTCTAAACACTTTCGCCTATATATACTCGTGAAAATCTTCTATGTAAATTCAATTTAATCTTAAAGAAGTTAAGCCAATGGCATTATTCAGAAACTCGATAGGTGAGGAATTCATACACAAGTTGATCAGGTAATAAATATCAAACATTTGCGAACAATTAATATTAAAATTAAGAATTCTTCAGATTACTTTCGGATAAGATTGCTGTGCTATCATACCAATAGAATAAAGTAAGACTAGAGTCCATGGAAGCAATTTTATAAAATAAAACCATCTTTTCCATCTAATATATCACCAACATATTCTGTCATTATACCCAAGAAGGGTGCAACAGTTAACTATTTAAATATATGAAATTAACTAGCCTACAGGAAGTTAAAAATAGAATTTATTTTTAATAATTTACTTTGTAACTTAAGATTTCTGAATTATTATACTATACCATTTAACTTTACCTTGAAGGTTTCGATAAATGTGATAATTTTCCTTAAATAGTAGGCAAGTCATTGCAAAATTTAAGTTAAAAATTTCATTTATATACAATCAGTTTGAAGACTCTTTTCAAGGGGTCTTTGAGCTTCTAAAATTCATGATTTATTTATTATACCTTTAAAAATGTATAACTGTCTTTCAACAACAAAGTGAGTTATTATGAAACTCCAAAACGTACAATTTAAAATTTTCTAATAATATAGACTATAAATGATGTTTTTTCCAAATATGATATTTTTATAAGCCTTTTGGTATTACGAACTCTCAACCCTTTTAGGTAGTTAATATTAATTGCAAGACCTTTTTCTAATATGGGTATAAATAGGGTCAAACGATGTTTATCATGCTTAATAAGTATTCAAATAAAATATTAGCATAGAGTTGTGCTTTAAACCATTTTGTTGATTAGAAATTTTATCACAATGTTTGTCAACTTACCTAATTTCTGAGGCAAATCTAATAATATATCATAAATAAATTTAAAAAAAAATGGTTGTTTGTAATATAAACAAGTACGTTTTTGGATATATTTTTATTTCTACCACAGTAGATCACAGTACTACTTTAAGCTGCTTTTATGTTACATGGACCATATACATTATGACCTTAATAATAATATCTTATAATTTTGATTATAATTTAAGTCAAGAAGTTGCCAAATTATAATATAAATAAGGCATTATTTAATCACACATTTCATTCACATAAGACACTCACTATATATGTATAGTGATCACATAAGATCACTATATATGTATTTATTTACGTGTACTGATTATGCTTACATATTATTTATTTTATTTTTCATTTATAATCATATATGCAGATTAAGCTCTATACATTTATTAGCTAAATTAAACCTTATATTTTACATTTTATCCAATTGCAAATCTTAACCAGTACTATATCGGGTTTTCCAACTAAAAATATATTACAGACTTTTTACTGTTTCTGTGGTTTATTAGCTCATTTATTTTGAATAATACTATAGTGCTTGTAAAAACACGACGACACTCGTAGAAAAACGAGTGATCGTAGGGCCGTGACAGTCCAGTGGTCACGGTTAGATCATAGTAGATATAAGACAGTCCACGAATATAGGGTAAAAGAATGAACAAGGCATTTGCATCTGTAAATAAATACATGTAGGTTATCATATAATAAATAGAAATATTTTACATACTTCTTTCTACTTAATAAAATTTTATGTGTATTCACATACACATACGATATCAAATTCTGGTGTCAAAAGATTCAGTCTAAAAAGCATAAAATTAGCAAATCAGATTTTCTAAACTTTACTTCGGGAAGTTAATAAAAAAAAATACTGAATCCCATTTTACCAAGTACATGTTTGTCAACCTGCCTAATTTGGTGGACAAAAGAAACATTCGGAAATGTGAATACAATCGCACACTTTTCGTATTTATTTTGATTGCAACCACGTGCCAACTCAAAATAAAGCGTGGCTTAACAAAAGTCAAGCCTTTGAACAAATATCGAGGTTGGGCGAATATTTTTATTTACTCTGAAAATCCCCTCGCGCCGAGGGTTGTTTTCCGCGACCTATCATTAAATACGTATATATGAGAAGAGGGCGAGAAACGTATGAAAGCAACTTGTAATTAGGCTGGATTCACACATTCGATGAATTGTAGTAGGTACTCAAGTCAGCTTAAAAAGAATAAATTAGATTTGATCAAATATTTATGGAATTTTTTTGATATATCTGAATATATTAATCAAAAATAAATTTGGGAAATGAATTGCTTGGATATCCATTCACAATGCCGTATGTATGTCTGAAAATGTTTGTACAAGTCAATATGGTTTAATGGTAAATTACTGAAACATCACTGATGTTAATGATTTTTGAAACATCATTGTAAAATAGGTGTAAAATTTGTCATCTTTATAAACAGTTTTTATTTAGTATATAATTGTTTTGAGAATAGCCTAATTTTTTATGGGTTTTTGTTAGTTTTCAGCAGTTTGCAGTCAAAACAAAACCCAAAAAATTCAAATAGAGCCTATTTTTATAAAATTTCATACAGTTACTAACATGATTATAAAATAAAGAAATTTAAACTTTTGCGGACATTCTCAATATCAAAAATGGTTTGTGACTTTATTATAGATATGAGTTCATGATGAATTGGAATTTTATACAAAAATGTTGTCCGGCAAAATTTAATTTAGCGAGTATTTTCCAATTGAAAAAGTTAATTCAAATTTACATACTACTTGGCAATTTTGCTCGGCCCATAAATTTATAGATATGTATGTATGTACATCCACAATTACTTTTTTAATAATAATAAGGACCATTTTGATAGGAGCAATCATATATATATATATATACATATATATATATATATATATATATATATATATATATTAAGGTGGTCCTTAATATGGACATTTTCGAGTTTCCTTGCTCCCAAGGGCTAAAATAGTTCCAAATTGATGAAAAACAATTCTCTGAAAGTTTTAGCTCTTAATATTAACTTTTAGAAAGTGCGCAATTCAATCAAACTTCGTATGGAAATAGCATGGAAAAAATTTTGAAAATTAAAAAAATGTGGTTTAGATGTAATTTTGCGAACAAATGAATGAATAAAACTTATTCATTTGTCGCTAAGTTATACCTAAAACATTTTTTTTTAATTTTCAAAATTTTTTCCATACTATTTCCATACGAAGAGCAAGGAAATTCGAAAATGTCCATATTAAGGACCACCTTAATCTGGACCTTAACTAACACTCCTGATATTACCCTGCCAGATTTCAACGTCTAAGAAACTATATTTTAATCTATAGTAGAAAATCACTGAATCTCACTCAGTTTTGCACAAGAAAATGTTATTTATAAATAACTATAGGTAACATATATCTTTCAACTAATAAAATAAGGACGATACTGAGAAATATCACTTAGAAATGAATATACCAGATGAAATTCAGTGCCGATAAAAAATTTTGCTTTATTAGAATAGCAAATTCGTTTTTCCCTGCATATTGTGATATGCTAGTAACAGTCATCATTGACATTCTGGTAGAAATAAATATCAAAATGTTGAAGTCTCATATTGTTCCATATCACATCTATAACCAAAATTCGTGTAGAATTTTCGAAAAACAGTTCACATATCACATTATTATATAAAAGCAAATTTTTATAGTAACAAATGAATAAAATACTTTTTTTTAGTATATACGAATCTATATTGTGCGTATATTAAATTGTCAACATCAAAAAAACATTTACATTTCAATTTCTCTATATCGTTTTGATACCGCTTCATCTCAACAAGTTTATAAACGTATGCTTTTAAAAGCACCTCCGTGTTCATCTATTTTTTTACCTTTATTTGAAGTTAAAAAGAATTTTTTATCAACGACATGCGCTTGCAAAAACACATGATCAAAACGTTTTTTACAAAACCGAGTCCGTTGAAAGCTAAAAGACTAAAGAGTAGGTGGCTTAACATGTTACCTAAAGAAATCAAAGAGGTTTTTATTTTGGTAATTTATATGAAAACACATTCTGCCAGATTTATAATGCTTGGTTAAGTCTATAAATTTTGATGACAAATATACCTACTTTTTGTGTTTTGTATTATAATTACAAAGTTGTAAGAATGAATAAGTTTATCGTACTAGTTGGTTCTTGCACGACTATCTGCATATTATTTAAAAACAAATGTTTATTGTTATCAAAAACTTTGCTTTAAAATCAAGAAAACTAGTGGGGCGCATGGCATTGTGCTTTAAGGCAAATTGCTGGAACTTCCCGTACCAAAAAAATTTTTTTTTTTAAATATTAACATTTTTGAAAAAAAATTACTCTGAAAAAAATAGATTTTTGAGAAACTATAAATTTGTGACAAAAATTTACTTTTTTTGAAAAAAAAGACTTTAAGGAACAATTTATTTTGAAATATTTTGGAAATTCTGAACTTTTTTTCAAAGCAATCGTACTGCTTTAACTGCATAGAGACGAAATATCGAAGCGCGTAAGCGCCGCATCGCCGTCTAACGGATAAGCATTGGTACGGAACCCATAGGAATGTAAACAAAATTTATACTTATTGTTAAAATCTCTATAAAATATCTGATAATTTGATATGCATATGTCTAATGATCATTTTTGACCGCCAAATGGCTTTTTTTACTTTTTTTGCTAGACTCCGAAACCGCTAGACCTGCCTTCATGAAATATTGATCAGTTCTTCTTCTTGTTAATATTAGGTTGTCAAATATCTCCCTTCCGCTTTTTTGCTCTTGGTTTATAATACAAAAAGGCGGAAGGGAGATATTTGACAACCTTATACAAGTAAAATGTTTTTTGAATTATTCAA